TTTTGCTTTGTGTCCCAAGTGCTAAGCCGTGCAGGGGTTGTATTTAACTGGGAATCAGGCAGCTCAAGTTACAGGTGAACAGCTTCAGTCTTGGGACATTTCTGCATTGTACTTAACTGAATAATACCTTCCCTTTCTTCTTTTTTTTTTTTTTTCTCTCATTGATCAAGCTGCTTTTGAGAAAAGTGATACTTTGCATATCTGGCTAAGTGCTGTTAACAGCCTCTGCCTGCGGTTTGTTAAAATTAAAAAAAAAAAAAAAAAGAAAAAGGAAAAAAAAAAAAAGAAGTGTGATCTTGCTGGAGAAGTAATTTGCTTCTCTCCAACCAATGATGGCTTGCACTTTATGCAAATTGGTATCTAGGGACAACAAATCCCATTTAATACATATGCATAGTTCATAAAAAAAACGACGTGAGAGAAAGAGAAAAAAGATAAAGCAACGAGTCAGCAAAAGAACAGGTTCCGAGGAAATTTATTGTCCCAAATTGGACATTTGTAACAGATGATGTGAACAAGTGTTAACTTTGTTTTCAGCAGCTCTTCACGTACATTCACTAGACATCACACAGATTATGTTTTAAGGATCTGAACTGTAATAAAAAAAAGTGTCTGTGGGCTTTGGAGTGTTGTGTTCCATATGGTTGGGGAAGTGCGGAGTTATTGCGACAAGCATCTTGTGAAGCTCATTACGCACGGCGGTGTGAGATGCGAATTGCTGTGCATCGCTATAGGGTACGTACATGACATCCCACAGTCAGCAGATAGCAACTGGAAATGAAAGATATGAAGGCACAGAGTACAGCTTCAGGGAACATGTTAGACAAAACATCTGCTGGTATCAGAAAGCTGCATTATCAGATCATTGTGGCCATGAATTTTTTATAAAGACTTTTTTTTTTTTTTTTTTTTTTTTTAAGCTGCAACTTTGAAAGTGACATTTTGCGAGAAAGTTTTTGATTGAAGTGTGATGTCAGGAGAAAGGCCAGTCTAGTTTATTATCTGTGTAAGAGCCAAAATTGGCAGCCTGAATCAGCTCCTTTCTCCAAGCAGTTGAGTTGGCCATTCATGCACTACAAGAGCTGTTTCTTGATGGCTGATAAAACCTCGACCCAGGTCGCAGGTTGGAGCTTCAGTGCCAAGCTCCTCAGCCAGGAGGTTTCAAAGTTTTTGCTCCTATGGCGTGGCTGGGGTCTGCTGAACGAAATTCACCCCAAAAGCAGAACCTTTCTGCTCAGAAGGTGGAGCAGAGCAAAGCAAAGCTCAGCATCCTCACCTAATTCCCCCTTGAGGGGACCTGTGCAGGCTCCGGGTACCTTCGGTACCTGCTGCCCTGTGCAGATCAGCTGCTCTGTCAGGGATGGCCCTGTCTAAAAATCCATCACACATTTGTTGCTTGCTGAACCTTCTTAACCCCCCCGGCTGTTTTTTGGGAGTGTTGCCCTGAGCCGTGGACATTTCCCTGCTCAGAGGGGCCTCCTACCTACTTAACATTCCTGATGGTTCTGAGGGCAGCGAGATGGCACAAAATGTATGTGCATAGTGTAACTATTTACGTTAAATGGACAGGCATTTTCCATCCTTTCACCTCTCCTGACCCAGCTGTGAATTTTCCTGCAGCAACAGGTACCAATGGAAAACCTGTCTCTGGCTTATCTGTGGATGGTCTCTCTCTCTGTCCAGTCAGATGCCTCAAAAATGCATCCCAAAGTGAGCAGACTTGATTTCCTGAGCTGATTCACTAATAGTTGCCTCAAAGAAAAGACCAAAATTACCCTGATTTTTTTTGGTTTTCCTAAACCTTTCCTAAACCTAAACACCCTGTTTATGTGTAAGAAGGTGGGAGAATGGAGGGACATATCCAAAAGTGTCATGATTTATGAAAGGATTTAGTTGTCGGCAGGAATTTTTTGTGTGATGCTGTTCATTAATGTAATGGGGCTTGCAGAGAGAGCCCAGGGATGGTTCATCCTCTGTCACTGGTACTTAGGGAGCCTGGAATAAGTGAGGGATTGTGCTGGGCTGACCTGTTGCTGAACAGGGCAGTCGTGAGGTGAGGGATGGAGCTGCCGAGAGCAGCTGCCGGGAGGAACGGCGCTCCCGGAGATCAGCCCACACAGGCCACGCTGGAACATCATTTTCCCAACTGCTGCCTTGCAGCAGCATTTAAAAACAGCAGGTGTGTAGGACATGCAGATCCAGGTTTGGCTGTGTCGCTTACCGAGACAGGAACTGCATCAGGGAGGTAATTCAGTGTTCTTGCCGTTGTATAAAAATAACCCTAATGGGTTTTTGTGATTGCTTCCTTGGGATGAGAGGTTTAGAAAATACTGAAAGATAAATTTAATGAAAAAAGAAGCAGATCAAAGCTGAGTAGTTGTTTGCTGGTTTGTTTTGTTGTTGGTGCTTTTTAAAACCTGTTTAATTAGATTTTGGAGGTTGGAGGTTTATTATGAGTGGATATTTTGACTTTAGCTTGCTCATGTATGTGGAAATGAAAAGCTGAATGTGGGTCTTGCATTTCCCAGAGGCATCTCCACTGGACTGGCTTGTACCTGTGTGTTCAGGTGTGAAGCTCCCAAACCCTGGGATGCTCTGGGTTGGAAGGGGGGATGAGAGGGAAATCTGACCTTATCTGAATTTTGGTAATCAAGGAGATCTTTATAGGTGTAAAAATGTGAATCAGAGCCTGCTACATTTTTAATATTCTTTACAAGAGTGAAAAGCTCCTTTATATGAAGCTCAGTGTTCCTTTACTGGCTGCACACCCACACCTGCAGGGAACCCGAGGAAGACTCTCCATTGGATTCCCACTGCCAAGCAGGAACTTGCCTGGGCAGGCTCCTCTCTCCACACTGGAGATGTTTTCCTCTGTACCTGTGTCCCAGCATCCTGGTAGGAAACTGTGTGTACCTGGAGTCAGGAGGCTGGCAGTACTGCAGTCCTTCAAAATGAGACACCAGCCACATTTCTTCTTAACTGTTGTTGTCCCGTGCACCGACCCAGCACTGAGCAAAAATGAGTCCTGCAGTCAGTCCTGTGTGTACAAAGCAAGGAGAAACATTTAAGTGCCTCTTTGGGCAGGCAGTCAGGTACTGCTTCATCTGCAAGCCAATATATCAACATTTACTAATAGGTCTGTGCTAGTGCAGTAGCTAAGTTTTAATAGCAGAGGCTGAAACGTGGACGCATAGTCCACCTCATCCTTTTTTCCCCACCTTTGCTTTCACTTTGGGTTTTCACCACGTTTGAAAGATTTCCTTGGCTGTTCTTCAACTTCTCTCTGCCTCTGTGGGCTCTCCCTGGTAGCAAAACTATTTCTGAGCAGCTAAGTGTTTCAGAGATGGAATGGGTATGATTTCCAGGGATGGAATAGGTAGGATTTCTTATAGAGCACGTCTGCATGTACGTGTAGAGATATACACACACACACACACGTGCATATGTATATGTAAATTTGGCAATGTATATAAAAATTCTGGAATATGGGAAGCTCGTCCCTGGCACAGGCAGTGTGTGCAGTCAGCAGAGCAAGCAGAGGGGGCACAGAGCTGGCACTGGGATGTGGCGGGAGAGCACGGAAGAATATATGGACGTGCAGCTAACGAGAAGGGAAGGGAAGTGGCTGCAGGGGAAAGAGAGATCTAATGGGTCCCAAATGTGGCAAGCACATGTGCTGCCATACAGCAAATGCAAAGTGCCACCACCAGTGACAAGTGGATTGCACCTAAGGAAAACAGCTGTGCCAAGCGCCCAAGTCCACAGTCAGCCTCCCGACCCCGCGTCTCCCCACCTGACACGGATTAGACTGGTCGGGGCTGGGCGCCGCTCTGAGCCCACGTTCCACAGCAATAACGGCTCAGCACATCTCTGAAATAACCCCCTGCACGGCTGCCTGTTCTGCATTTGCAATCCTGCACTCGTGAGGTTGCTTTATTTTGGTTTATCTTACTTAATTTACTCTGCTGTGCCCGGTCCCACATAAACACTTTGATTGTCTGTGTAGATCATTGCATGGTTTAGTGCAGTTCTGTTACAAACCCTCCCACATAACCCTATTATTTGTTAATAACTTTCCTGTTTTGAAGAAACGCCCTTTGACACTTGAGCTGCATCTCCTGTTCTTAGGCATAAATATAATTGTCCCTGGTGAAGAGCATCCCTCTGACTGGTCCTATCTGCTCAGTATATATTTGAATATATAAAATATTAATAAATGATGCCAAATGTTTAATCATATCCGTTTGACTCTATGAGAGTCGGTGTCTTTAGGCTTTCTGTGTTAACTGCTTCTGTGATATCTACATACTGCTGACTTGTTGTTGATCTCGAGTTTTTAAAGCAAAATAAAACTGAGGTTTGCAGTTTGATATGAATTAATCAGGTCTGATTAGACAGGAACAGATCAGGAAATCCCAGAATCTCTCTAATTCAGTTTCATGTGTTACTCGGAAAGAAATAGTTCATAGCTTAAGTGAAAGTGCTATTTATTTAACACTGTTTATTTTTTTCAGAGTGGGGCATTATGATGATGATCAGGGTGTTGGAAAGAAAGCATTTTATTCTATGAAAAAACAGATATTTTAGAATGGAGTCACCTGCTGGTAGATCTCATAAATGTACATAAAAAAATGCTTCCTAATATTATTAGTTTGGTTTTTTTCTCCACATCACCCTGACTGTCCATCTAGAAGCCTCGGTAGCTGGAGCCACAAAACCAGCAGGCTGTATTTAGTTTAACAAGCCAATTTAAAGAGAAAGGTTGGAATTATGTATGGCAGAGGACAGTTATGCAAACTAAATGATTCTTCAGGTAATAATGAGATCCATGAAAGGCAAAGGAGAAAGGACCCTCCTCTCAGGAGGAGAAGGCACGTTCTCCTTCCAGAGTGTGCAAGGGTTGGGAAGTGGAGGGACAGGGCAAGGAGCTCCCAGTCAAAACCTGAGGGGCTCTGCTGATGGTGGGAAGTCCCCAGTGGGAACTTTGCTTTCCCAAACAGGTTCTCCTCTGATGGTGCCCATCTCACGGAGCTCTCTCAGGAAGCAGCAAGTGGAGCTGAGCTGTGTGAGCACCTGCCAGGATCTGCACTGTGAGTACAGTGCTGGAGGCACCACAATCCCACCCCACTCCTCCCTTCCTCCTCACCCTCTGGAAAACAGGCCAGAGACACACAAGCCCAACTGCAGAGCCACCAGTTTGGCTTTTTCATGCAGCTTTTATCCCTCTTTTATCCCTGACTGTTGTGTGCCAGAGCAACAAGCCATATGTTAAAGATGTTAAAGAGCAAATACTTCGCAGCCAGTACCAGCATGTGGAGTCGGGGGGAAACGGGAATAACGCTGGGAGAAGGGGGAAGGAGTGATTATCTGCTAGTGATTATTCGGGAGGGCAGTAGTGGGAGGTGCTGTAAGTGACAGGGATTCACTATGGGACGCAAATCACTTAAGGCAAAGCCATTAGGATCAATTTAAAATACCAAAGAGGGAGGCTAAAGTGACAATAGCATATTTTTAATTGAAATCACAAATATCAGTCTGCAAGATATGGTTTAAAAGACCGGGCAGAGTTGCTTTATCTGAACAGAAGGGAAAAAAAAAAAGAAAAAAAAAAAGGCAGAGATCCAACTGGAACTATGTGGGGTTTTTTTAAAAAAAATTTTAAATCCCATATATATTTTTTTCCTTTTTTAGTATTCTCTTTTCTCTTTATGGTCATGTTATAAATGGAGTTAACTACATTACTAATGCTTTTAATTTGATTTTAATAGAGCCTAGGGCTGAAGCATGGAATCAGCGTGTGTCCCATTAAAGGAAAAATACAGTTACAGGGACAATAAATAGCATGTCCAGATAAACACATTTATGCCTTAGTTTTATTTATTGAGCTAAGTAGCCCATGTACAGAGACTGGGGTTTTTTTTCAGACACTTTTCCAAAGCTGAAGTCCATATGATGAGATTGTTACTGGTTTTGGCACAGCAACGTGAACTTGGTAAAAGAGCCTGGCATGGAAATCCACCGAGTTCTGACATACTCCATTTGCTCCAAACTCTTTGATTTCTGCTCACAGAATCTGACATGTGTTGGGCACTGACCTTGCTCTTTTAAATAAGCTTATTTTAGAGGACCTTTGCAGAACGCTCTGTGTTTGGCCTCGATGTAAGCTGTTAGGGAAATGTAGTACAAACACAGAAGTTGTATGTTTTGAATGCCAGAGATGTTGAGCTGCAGAGCAGTCGGTAAAAGCTGTACTTCTGACAAAAGCTGGACTGCTTTCTGTGCTCTTAACAAGTGTCCTTAAAGAAAAGAAAAAATTACTTACTTAATCCTGCATTTGTGTGAAGGATTTTTATTAATTTATTTTTAGCAGGAAGTTCAGGACCAGATTTCTTTTTCAGTCTGAAATATTCCCATCGGGCTCTCAGATACTCAGTGGAGTGAAAGCAAACATTTTGAAGAGTAAGTGATTGTCCCAGGTCAGAAATCCTAGAGGGTCAGTGTCTTATTGTCCTGTAGAATCACCCCCCCTAAATTGTCTCTGCATAGAGGCACTGGGACCCAGGAGGGACTTTCCCAAAGCTTGGCCTTTCCTTTATGGAACAACCCACTTCTCTCAGTGTGTTTCGAGAAGAGCCAAAACCTTCAGTGTGGAGATTTGATTTCCATTTGTCACAGGGGAGCAGCTGGTATGGAAGTTCACAGTCAGAGTGCTGCAGTCTTGCAAATGCCAGCTTGCAGCACTGTGCAAGGAAACAAATCACTGGGCCCCAACATGGCAACACTAAAGAGAGAGGGACTGAAATAGGTATTAATGCCCTGCATTCAGCCTCTACCTGCTCCAGTCCCTAAAAACTCCTGTCAACAGCCAAAAGCAGAAAGAAACTTGGAAACACACTTGGGACGTTGATGTGGCAGACACACTCCTGTACCCTTTACTTGGCCTTTGAGGTTTGGAGCCTGGAAATTTAATCAGCTGGAGAATGTGTCCCTGGAAAGGGTTGTTGAGTTTAGCCATATCTGAGTAAGTGGCAGTAATATTCTACACATAGGAAAACAGGGATCAAATCGCAAAAATCAATGTAGGTTTGAATTCGTGGTCGTGTGTAGCTCTTCAGGACAAAACCTGGCTCCGTGAGCAGCAAGGAGAGGGAGCAGGGCTGTGCCAGAACATTAATAACCCTCTTCCTTGGCCCATGGACAGCTCTGCACACTGGATTCCTCTCAGAGAGCTTGGGTCAGTTGGCTTCCCAAGCACACAGGAAGGGCATGAAGACCTGTCTCTGTTGACACTGGGTTAAGAGGCTGGGAGGGTTTGACTTGGAACATTTCCTTGGCTAAAGGAGTCAGGAGTGGATTGTTTTACCTCTCTCTGCAAACCCCTCTCCCTGATTCAGCAGCAGCGAAGGGAAACCCTCCTGTTCCTATGAATAATTCATCTGTAGCACATACACAGGGTTCAGAGCCTGACCCAGGCAGTTTTTTAGGGAAATAAGTGAGCATCAGGCCATCATTGCCAGTGCTGGTGGCTGCTCCATGTAGGATGAGTTGGAGCTGTGCCATCAGTCAGCGGGAGGGATGGCAGAGCTGCTGCCCCTTCTGCAAAGGGGCTCTGCCTGAAATTCCCTGCACCGTCACTCACAGCCTGGGGTTTTTTTTCAGGGAAATGGCTTTTATTTGTTGTGAATTCTTCATACAGAACAAAAACTAAATAATGTAACATATTCTGGGTTCTGGGCAGATAAAAATTGAAAGGGCCGGGGTGTTTGTGCAAGTGGAATGATAGTGACAAGCACCACATGAGGTCCCCGAAGATGGCGTCAGGGGACTCGATCCCCCACAAAATGATGAAAGACTCTGATGTAATGGTGTTTTGTGAAACAATTTGAACATAAATGCCACTTTCCTTCCCATTAACAACTGACTGCCATTGTGGCAGGATTTTTTTTATATTTTTTGATACGGATTTTGAGCACACTGAGACCAAAAACTTTCATTGTGATAGTGCTGCTGGAAGGTTGTGGTGCACTAAGAATTGAAATGCAAATCACACTTAAGACACAACCTCCTGCTGAGGCCCAAATTTTTATAGATCAGGTTCTGCAGTTCTGATGAAGAATCAGTGATCTGCCTTTTCTGGGATTCACAAATTACCTGCAGTCTAAGGCACCATTTCCTACGACAGAATTGTAACTTGCCAGATGAAAGTTTGTCACTGAAGACAGTCCCCCTGATCTTCCACTAATTTTTCCAGCTGCAGTGCCACTAAGGATCCTTTCCCACACAATGCCAACACACACATCACAGCTCCCCACTCTGCAACATGTTCTTGCTAAATATAAACATACTGTATATATTGATCCTCTCCCCCTTGCTTTTTTTCTCCCCCAGTGTGCAGGTGGTAGAATATTGGCTGCCATGAACTTCATGGTGCAAAAAAAAAAAAGAAAGAAGAAAAAGCTGTGGTTTGGAAGCTGCTGGATAGCAAACTGCAGGCTGGGAATGTGGCTGCTGAAACCACTACAAGGATAACGGGGCATACACACGTTTGTGGATAATTCTGTTTGCTAATTGCTCCTGAAATTTCAGGTAAGGAACATCCAATTTGTTATAATAGGTAATATTGTAATAGGGTTTTGCTTTCCAGGATGGCTTTTTTATTATTATTATTATTATTATTATTGTTATTATTTTTATTGCTGTCATTACAAATGCAGGGCTCTCTGTGACTGGAAGAACACTTTGCAGAGAGGCTGGGGCAGTGCTGGGAGGCAGCACAGGATGTTTTTAGCCATGGACATGGCAGCAGCAACAGCCGTGTCTCCAGGCCCTGCTGTATCCCAGGGCTTCCAAGGGGAACTGCTCTTCCTTCCTTCCTTCCGTGCCTGCTTGTGCCATCCCTGAAGCACAGGATCCATGACCAAACCACAGCAGGTACATAGAAAAGGTCAAGGAGGCAGATCCTGCTCTCCTCTTGTAGAAATGGGGTACAAACCCATTTTTATAGGGCATCTGAACGACAGCAATGCTCAGTTCTTAACCATTTCGAGCTGGAACCTAAACACAAGGAGGGAGCTCTGCTTCTCAGTGCCCTGAACCACTGAGGCCTCCCAGGAACTGTTCTGGTCACCCCTTTTTCCCTGCCAGCTGTTTAGAGGTTCCTAACTCTGCAAAAATGTGCTGGAAGTTATCACCCACAGTGATCACAAGCTCAGAGCCGAGTCCCTCCAATTCGCATCCACTTGCCATCCTGCAACTTTAACTAGTTCTGCTACTTACTACTAATTAGCTACCAGCTAATACTAATGGCTACCACTGCTGCAGCATTTAGGATTTACACACACATTAATGAGAATTAGCATTTGTTGACGGCCATGGTGGGAGCTGTCTGCGTGCAGCATTTCTGGGGTCCCCGTTGCTGTAATGTTTGATTGCCTCCTCCGGTAATTACCACTGACACCGAGCAAGTTTTGCATAGGTCTCACTTGGCTGTGCAGAGCTGAAAGACATATTGGGCTCTGTTTGTGCTGAAGGGAAAAGAGGCCAATAATAATATATTTCCTGGTAACATCCCCTCTTCTCCTCACTCCCCTCACATGGGTCACACGGTGCCAAGGGATGGGGTGGGCTCTGCTGCCGCACATTTCCGTGCTTTGTTGTCCTCCATGAAACTCCATTTCACTACTTTTGGAATATGTATAGAACCATTTAGTCATTTTAACTTAAAGTCAATTGCCTCCTTCATTTGGGAATACGAACGTAGCTGAAATGCTACAGAAATTTGGCACAGCAGCAGTAAGTTAACTCTGGTGGGCCTTTCCGTGCCTGTGTAAAAGAGGGTGCATAATCAGAATTAAAGCAGAGGGAATACGGAGAAATACAGGCCCCTTGTAACTCTTGCAGGGAATATGAGCACATGGCTGGCAGTATTCTTTAGGAATACCAATTGCCTGTTTGGAAAAGGAGGTGCTGGGGAACGTCCCTGTCTCCCTGGTCAGCTTCCTGAATCCGCTCTGGAGAGCCAGGCACGCGTTACACATCCAGCCTGCGGGTCTGGCTGTGCCTGGCGCTGCAAGGGGAGCTTTTTCCATGCGCTACTGTGGAAAGGAAGCTGCTCTCACCCTCACCCCTGAGGAAGATGAGCTATAGGAATATACAAGGGGCTTTTTTTTATAGCTCGGGGGCCAGAAGGGGAAGCAGTGGTCATGAGCAGAGACTGGAAGTTGGCTTGTTAAGTAAATCTCAGGCTGTAGCTGGTTTTAATTTATTTTTTGTTTTATGTGCAGGAGACTAGGCCTTGCAGGCCTGGCTAATATCAAAGCCTGGGGGTTTGTAGATTTTTAATCAAGGTCCACTTTGGGGGGTTCTGCTTTCGGGGCTTGTGGATATGTAGGATTTTTTTTGTCGTGTTTTTCTTTTTTTTTTTTTCTTGCTGCAGTGTCTGGATTTCTTTAGTTCAACTTTTCCATTCTTCAGACTTGAGCCAAGTGAGTGATTTCAAATTACCCAGCACTTTCCAGAGAGGCCTTTTTTGTTGTTTGTTTTTTTGGTTTGGGAAATTTTTTTTTTTTTTTTTTCAGCAGACTTGTAGTCCAGTTTCTCTGAAAATCCCAGCTGGTATCACAGTCCCACCCCGTTGCCTCTCACTAATTTGGCATTCTTCACACCGTCTAAATAGTTTATTGTTCATCAAATCTGTAGGAAAGGAATTTTATATCAATTTTTTTGTTTGTTTTGTCCCTCTGCTGGCAGGAAAAGTAAATCCCAAAGTATTTCAGCAGGTGCTATTAATATGCAAATAATGGAGAGTACACTAGGTCTAATAGACCTCCCAACTACATGGGAGGTGTCGCTGTTGGAGCAAATTAGCTTTCCGTAATTTGCATGCTTTTCACAGCCTCCTGGGATTATATTTTAGATCAGAGACAATAAAAGCATATGCTGTTAGTTTAAAATGTAACTAATTTTAGACTTTGAAACCATTTTAACCTAACTTCTTAGTGTTACACTGTTATTTGCAAAGAAACTTTTCACAGAGCTTGTCATTGTCACGGCCTTTCTCTTCCCCCATTAACCGCTCCGTCTCTCTTTTCAGGTTGAAAGAGAAGAAGGGAATCTTCCAGGTGGCTCTGTCTTGAAAATCAGGTATTTCTCACAAACCCAAGTCCAGATTGTCCTAGTCTGGTTCTGAATTTGCATTCAAGTTCTGAAGGGGTCTAGATTGAGGTTTTCATGTCAGACTTCTTTGGCATCTCCGTGAGTTGTAAATCCACCCAGAGAGGATGCTGTGGCCCCTGCTGACCACTCACAGAGGGAGGAAGCTCATAGAACCAAAAAATCCTTTCTAACTCACCAAAGCAAAGAGTCCCTGAGCTGATGTGGCACAGATGCCCAGCGCACTTGTTGGAAAA